GGAGGTGCTCAGCCACACTCCAACCCAGCCTGACTCAGGAAGGGAGAGAGGGACTATCCTGACAAGGCCAGTCCTTGGAAGGTAATGCCCCTCCCCAACCCCTGGGACCACCTGTAGTGACATCCAGAGTGCAAGCTGGGTGACAGCTCCAGTTCCATTATGGGTAGACACTGTTCTGCGAACTTTTGTCATCCACTCTGGACCTTGGGGAAGCTTCCACTCTCCACTCGGGACCCTCTGCCATCTTAGAGGATGGCAAGACAAGCAGTCCATGCTGACAGAAGACAGGTTACTGGAGACTGGACAGATTAATGGAGATGACAGCAGAGGGGAGATGGACAGGTGGGAGTGACCACGGGCCAGCCCAGGAGATTCCTATGGGTGGAGAGGAAATGGCTGGGAGTTCCCAGGACATGTGCTTATGGGATAGCACAGGGAGCAAGGGTGCAGGCTGAGCCAGAACCTTGATTGTCTTTCCTGGCAAATAGCTCTTACCCTTAGGTGGTCTCTAGTTCCTGGGGAACAAGGATGTAGCTCTGACTTTCTGGATTTTCAGCCTCAATACATGAGACAAGGGTTGTCTGGGACCCTGCCTGAGGCTCACAGCCCAGCCAGGCTAGATAATGAGCATATCCTCAACAATGCGACATCCCCACTGCTGCAGGACCTGAACAACCGCCCCCATCCTCTCAAGAAGTTCCCCAGGACTGGCCCAGGCTCTCTGTAGTCTATGGCTACTGACTCCTACAGGTCCAGCTTTGAAGCAGCCCTGGATTCCCTAAAGGTAGGCCTTACCTTTCTTGTCACCCCTGCACCTTGGGGACAGGAACAGAGGATTCCTATCCCCTTCTGCTCAGCTATGTGTTCTCATTTTGACTCAGGTGTTGCCTCACATGGCTCCAGCATGGCTCCAGAACTGTACTGGGAAATAGGGACCTCTGTCCCCATAGGACAGGGTTAGTGGGTGTGATTCTCCCTGTTCTGGCAGATGCATGGGCAGGCCAGCCTCTCCAGGAAAGACCTAGTGGGAGCCTGTGGTCAAGCAGGCTGAATCAGGCTACACTTGGAGATTCTGCAGAGAGAGAAGGAGGGAGAGAGGAAGGGAGGAAGAAAGAAAGAGAGAGAGAGAGAGAGAGAGAGAGAGAGAGAGAGAGAGAGAGACCCTAAAAAGACTGAGTCAGGGAGACACAGAAAGTTGGGCTCAAAGCAGCCCTGTTCACTGGAGATGGGAAGACAGGGGAACGGAAGTGTCACTATGGCCAGCACACAACACCCACTTGCCTCCCGAGAAGGAAGCTGGGACTCTGGAGTAGATGGAACCTGCCCAAGTTATAAGGCAGATGGACAGTGAGGTGAGGCTTGCTTTTGGCTGGCAATGATTTGAGTCTGGCTTAGGAATCCCTGGGGGACACAGAGGCCACCATCGGCTGTAGAACTTGAGACATCAGATCTTGAGCCTGGGACCCAAGGCTGGCCCCACAGCCCAGCTCACCAGAGGCACCTGCCCTGAGTGAAATGGCAAACAGCATCAGACCTCAGGAAAGAAAGGCTGCAGGGCTGAGACTCCAAGGTGGCCAGGACTGGTAGCCTTGATAGAGCTGCTCCTGGAAACTCAGGTTCCTTTCTGGGCCAGCTCTGCCCAGCACACCTGGTCAGGAACCCCACCTAGAGCTCCGCAGAACCACTCACTGAGTCCTTGGTGATGTTCTTGTATTGAACCTGTTTTCTGGCTGACTGGCTGAAGAGACATCCAAACCTGGGCTTGGACCCTTGTGTGGTCTCAGGCCATTTCTGTGTCTCAGTCTCCCCATGTGTAACGAGAGGATAGTGCTGCATCTCCATCATCAGATGGGCATAAGGACTCATGATAATACAGACTGGCAGCACCTGCTTTTGTACAGAACCCTGAAGGGGACTCACACACCTGGTGCTCAGCTTGGCTCTTCCAGCACCACGTGAGTATGTGCCTTGCATGAGTCCTCTGCCTTCCCTTGACCCTGGCTGCCTCTGGCAAGTCTTCAGGGAAGATGACTCAAGGCTCTGCCTCAGCCTTCACTCTTGCTCTCTGTGATGTTCCATAAGCACATGTCCTGGGAATCCCCAGCTGCCTTCTCTCCACTCACAGGGCTCTCCTGAGCTGGCCCTTAGCCACCCCAACCCGGCCATTTCCACTCAGGTGCCACTCAGTCAACACCACCTTAGCAGTTTCCTGAGTACCTGTGGTCATCCCTTGCCCTGCCATCTTTCCCTCTCCTGTAGGGTCCTATTAACTACCATGCACTTTCCTCTGCTTTCCCAGAACTCCCTCTTTCCTCCCTCCTTTCCTCACCAACCTGGGGATGCTACAGGTTACTCTTCACCAGTCTGCCCAGGATGCTTCTCCATCATCCCACAGTCCTACATCAGCTGCCCTTCTCCTCTGTCCCTGGGCTCCATGCAGCACTCATTGGTCCAGGGACAAGGCACAGCCTAGCCCCCTGCCCTTGCTCTCTCCTGTCCCCACTCCCATAACTCTCCTCCATGCCCATCCTGCCTGCTGTGATCCAACCTGTTCCCAGAAGTTCAGTTCAGAGGACTGAGTCCTTCCTGGTCCTCCTGTCCAGAGGCAGGAGCCTTCTTTCTGTCCCTCTAAGTTCTCCTTGCAAATGGACAGTTCCTTTTGGAGGTGGCAGGTGGGTAGTAGTGTCCTGTGGAGTCCTCTGCCTACACTGGGACGAAGGAGCTGAGCAGAACTGAGAACAAGTGACTGCATGTCTGAGCCTCAACTTTCTCATCTGCACCATGGGTGTAATCCATCTCAGTGTGGGTGGGGGCAAGATGAAACTACAGATGCAAAGCTCCTCTAACAGAGCAGGTACCTGGCACTTGACCAACCCCCAGAAGACTCGTCCCCTTTTGATTCCCTATACTCAGCTGGGTTGAAGGGTTTCCTGCTGATCCTGGGATCTTTGCCTTCTAAGGAGTGAGCCTTCAGGAGACTAGATGTAGCACCCCATTACTGGGACTGGAGAGGCAATCAGGACTCCCTTTCTGCGTCCCCCCCCCCCCCCGGCTTCCCATTTTCTGTCTGCATAGACCTTTCAAAAGGAAGGTGCTACTCAACAGGGAAGTGGAGGAGACAGGAAGAGCAGCCTGGGGACAGTAAAGGGAGTAGGCGCATCCATTGTGAATTCCCATCACCATTAGCTGCCTTGACTCTTCCCACCTGGACTGACTCTCCAGACCCCTAGCAGCCCTCTCCAGCCCCCAGCATGCACTGGTTGTTCCCCAGCATTCACGGCCCTTTGGTTTATATGAACAGTGCTCATGAGCTATCACCGTGCAGCAGTCGCCACAGGTACCAACCTTGGGTGCACGCTCTCAGCTCACCTGATTTCATCTGAGTACTGTATGCCATGGAACCTCCCAAAGGAAGTCTTCCCTGCCTCTATCTCCCATTCCTTTGGCCCCTTAGATCCCCCTTCCCACATATACACACCCACACAACAGGGCATTTCTCATTTGCCTTTCTCTTTTGTCTGAAATTTTAAGTGGGGGCCTCACTACAATGCTGGTACAGGAGCCAGCACACAACAGTGGTTTGGGAAGCTGACAGAATAACGTCGTACTCAGGTTTACTATGACTAAGAGGGCTAGGACATGCTCCAAGGAACTCTGGGCTGGCCGGGAAAACAGGTGTAATGCAGGCTGGGCTAAGGTCAGAGAACATTCCCTCAGGTTCAAGGGTGTGAACCCGGTTGCCCCTTGGCCTCCACACCAAGTCTGAAGCAGACACACTGACCTCCTCTGCCACATAGCTCAGAGCCCTGACACATGGTGCTGTGATGTCAGGGCTAGGAAGACATGCAAGAAAGGCTTGCATACCTCCTAGCTTGGGAACCTCGCTTCTTCCTTGGGAGTCACTCATCCACAGGAAACATGTTCCCAGACTATGCAAAAATCAACCTCCCTGGGCCCATCAGAGCCCTCCACTGGTACAGCTTGGGTGAGTCCAATTTGACAACCTGTGCAGGTACTCACTGCCTGGCAGTGTGGCAACAAAGAGGCTGCAACCTCAGAGAAGATGGCCAGGCACGTTTGTGTGCATGTGTGGTGATGCAGGAACTGGGTCACTTCCCAGACATGCACACTCACACAACACTTGGTTGGGGGATGAGGGACCAGCTAGAGCTCCAGGAAGTGCTCAGTGGGTGAGGCAAGACAGCAGAGGTGGGCAGCATTCAGAGAGGGGATGCCCCCACACAGTCTCAAGTGGATCTCATCCCCACCCCTGCCCAACACATGGAACCATCCACAAGACATAGACAGGACACCTGTCCCCAGCCCTGCCCCCTCTACCAAGAGACAGAGCCTAACCCGACTCTGACTCAGGGAAACTATAGCAGGCACTGGTCCCAGAGGGTCACCCCCACCCAAACTCCAGGAAGGAGCACAGATGGTGGCAGCTGGGACTGGGAACTACTGTACTCGCTGGAACATGGGAGGAATGCGCTGCCCCGCGGCTCCGGGCTCCCAGCCCAGCCGGCCAGTCCCGGGATATCCGGTGAGGGAGGAGGCTACACCTTCGTTCCTCTCCATAGTCTCTGGCCTGCGGACATCCCAAGCCTTATCTTTCCTGCCCTGTTCCGCTGCTTTGCTGGTGCTGGGGATCCAAGCAATCAAGCTCTCGCCAGGCATTGGGTAACCGGGAGGGTGAGGGCAGTGATGTCTCAGCAAAGAGGTGAAGCTATGAAGTTGAGGCACGGGACGGCCAGTGCCCGGGAGAGAGGTTTGCCTTGCAGCTCTTCCCGCCCCGCTGTCTGCACTCGGTCTCATTGCACTGCCGGCACATCCCCACCTGACTGGGGCAGAAGGCGCGCCCCATTATCCCAACGCCAGGAGCGTTCTTGATGGCCACGTGGTAAGCGATACCGCGACCCTGATCCAGAGCCTCCCACACCCTGAACTGCGTTCCTTTCCCCCAACCCCTCACCGCGGCAGCAGCAGCCCAGGGCACTCACGGGTGGTGTTATACTTGATGCCATTGAAGTACTCTGGGCAGGGTCTCTCCACCAGAGCTCCGGCCGCGCTCCGGGGCCAGCACGTCCCGATCTGGTCCAAGGTCGTGTTGCAGTAAAAGGGAGCTGACAACGGGAAGAGAGCGGAATGGGGCTCAGACGGGGTCCCCAGTGGGACTGGGCGCGGTACGCACCCGGGAAGGAGCCGGAGCCGCTGCGACGCACTCGCCTTGAGCCTACCCTCCCTACCCTCAGGGTCCAGGGGCTGCAGCCTCCAGCCGTCCAACAGCAGCTCCTCGGCCAGCGCTAGGCTGCAGTTGGCCTCCAGCAAGCTGTGGAGCAGCGCCGCGTCCATCGCGTCCAGCAACCGCGCGCGCAGAGGGCGTGGGAGTGCGCGCCCCGCGTGGCTGCCCGGGGAGTGGGTGCCCAAGTGAGCGCAGGCTCCCTGTCCCGGGCGCACCAGCTCGGTTCTGCCGGGCAGCCTCGGGGTGCTGTGCCGGGTCGTCCAGAGCTGTCAAGTCGGGACCTTCCCAGCTAGAAGCGGCGGAGAAGCACCCAGGCACTCGGGTCCACCCGCTCCTCCACGGCCAATGGCGGAGCTGGGGGCGGGGCTGGACAGCCCTTCACTGCAGAGCTCAACCTCCAGACCCCGGTCCCCAGCTGTGCCCACCCCCCACCCCGCCCCCGGGCCGACATTTCTAGGCTCCTGAGGTCAGAGACGGTTGGGCGAAGGGGTGGAAAGCGGACTCTGGGAGCTGCAGGGGGCAGCGAAGCGAGCCCACCCAGGAAATCCATTGCAGCCTTCCTCTCAGTAGGGACAGTTGCCAGCCATCCCAAGCGGGGCCTCGGTCTCCCCTCCCTGAGCCGAGTAGGGGCAGAGTTCATGTGCACATCTTGCACCCCTAGCCTGGAGAGATAAGATTAAATGGCCCAAGTAGGTGGAGACCCGTAGCAGGACGGGGAAGCCCAGCTGGAGAGGGATTTCGAAAGAACAGGGGCTGGATGCCAGGTGGGGAGAGGAAGCAGGAGGCAGGGGCACAACAAGGTATCTCGCACAGGTGACTGTCAACACAGCACTGCACACCAGGAGAAAAATCAGGCTCCACAGTTCGTGGTGTGCCCCAGCTCACAACGTCCTTAGTCCTGTCTGCCTGCTGTTTCTCAGGTTCCACGCCCCTCGGGGCGTCGCAGGCTGCCGAGCTGCAGCCACCGCTGAGCTCAGAAAACAGGACCCACAGGTGACAGGCTCCAGCTCAGGCCAGGTCCTTGTCCTGCCTCTGTGTCTGCTCTCCCTGCCATGGACACCCAGGCAGGATTCTTGTCCTGTCTTTTGGGGATGTTCTCCCAGGGGTTTCCCAGTCCTGAAAGTCTCTGCTTCTGAGTTTAGAGAATTTGTGTTTCTGTGTGTGTACAAACGCATCTATGTATGTGTCCATGTATATAGGTGCATGTGTATTTTGTATTGCATATTTGTGTGTTTGCGTATGTGTCCATGTGTGTTTGCATATGCACGTGTGTAAGTATACCTGTACATGTGTGTAAGTGCATACATATACACACATGTGTATGCTAGAGCAGTGAATGTGATTCTATGTGTATTGTGTATATGTCCTTTGTGTGTTTGTGTGTATATCTTCAATGGGCAGGCAGACCTGGGCCCAAGAACGAGTCCTGCTCCCTGCCAGCTCCCCCTGGACACCCCAGCTACTCTAGAAGGCTGAAAACCCACATGTGGCTCCTGAGCAGGGAGCAGCGAGGAGGCTGGCTAGGCTGTCTACATATTCCACTCTTTGCAGGTTCCATATTAACTCTGCTGCAATGGCTCAGGCCATGTAACTGAGGCAGCCAGCCAGCAAGCGAGCAAGAGGGTGCTAATACATGGCTGAGTGTTGCTGTCTCTCAGGGGCCTGTTGCTGGCAGGGCCCCCACGAGACAGAGCTTCCAGAGGGGGTTGTCCCCTGTGTGAGCCAGGATAGGAGATGAGGGGGATAGGAAGCCATCCCAGCCCCATCCAGCAGACTCCTGCTTCTGGTTCCCAGACAGAACCGTGTCCTTCAGGATCCCTCTGGGACATCCTTGGGGGTGGGGCCAGAGGAGGGAGCAGTTCCTCTGAACTTAAGTGATCAACTCTGCCCCAGGGAGTTAGCAAGCTCCAGGGAGGTGAGGTGAGGACTCCTGGCTCACACCCCTCAACTTCTGCAGATCAGAGCACTGGCCTGGGGGGCCAGTGCACAGAGATTCTTCAACAACAAAGTCAGACTGGGCAGGCTGAGGCCTGAGCCCAGAGCCGCAGCGCCTGGGTTGGCAGGATGCAGAGCCATCTTGTCATTGATTTTATTATTATAGACATGCTAAGCTGGAAGAGGTAGCGGGTTTGGGAACAAATTGATTTTTCAGCTGGCTTTTTAGTGTTTGCAAATGAATAAAGGAGATGACATTGGAAAGAGCTGAGACTTTGCTCTATTAGATTAAGTTCAAATATGAAAAAGTCTGAATGCTCTTGCCAAGTTAGAAAGTAAAAGTGGACAGGAGGTCCCTGAGATGGTAGCTGGCTCCTCGGGCTGCAGGCTGGCCCTGTCCTGGAGTCATCAGTAGAGAAGTGTTTGGGACAGTCTGTACATTTCCATGCTGGCGGGGACAAGACAGACCGGCGAACAGGTGCAGGTAAAGGTACCAGGTGTGTTGTGAGCAGCATGGATGAGGTAGCTGCCTCCCCCACCTCAGCCCACCTCAGATGTCAGCTGTGGGGTGGGGCAGAGAGCTCCAGGCACACCTGTTGCACACTGATGCATGGAGATACACTGAGTCACAGTGGTGCTAGGTTTACTCTCTCCCATTGTCCCTTGCCATGGAGGGCACACAGGGCTTTAGGGACAGGGTGTTCTTGCATCTCGGAGGGACTGTCGGGGTCATGTGGCACCTGCAGGGGTTCTGCTTGGGCAGATCTGGGACACTGACAGTGGGCTTTCCTGGAAGTTGTGGTGGGCAGGCAGAGTGGGGGCTGCTGGGATTCGGCGAGTCACTCTCCCAGCAGGCATAGAGACCCATGCTCTCAGGCCAGACACCTGTCTCCTCCCTGCCCCTCCCCTTCGGAACTCTGGAAAAGGCTTGGTGTCTTCACGTTGACCTCGGGGTGCCGTGTAATCATTGTGATTGAGCCTCTCATCCTCTCCAAAGGGCTCCTAGCCCAGTCCTTCCTTCCCACCCACCATTCCAGCACACAGCTAAGCTCCCAGTTCCTCTGTTCTATGTCAGGGGACTTCTTGTTTGCCCCTGTCCACTGGGGCCTGGCCATGATCATCCCGAGGCTACTGTCTTGCCTCCCATATCCTTCACCAGGGTAGGGCTGTCTTGCCTTCCATATCCTTCACCTGGTACCCAGGGCAGGGTAGCATCCACCAGGGTGTCCGTTGTGGGTGCTCAGTGAGTCATTGCTGAAGAGCAAAGGCCTGGGCAGCAGAGCTGGGGGAAGCCCAGGACCCTGTCTCCTGGACTGTTGGACCAAGGTTCTCTTCCCATGTGACCACCTCTGGCGTGCATGCATGTGTTTGTGTGCTGTATTGGAGAGCTATTTCAAGGCGTCCTTGAATCTATTTGGACCTTGATCTTGCCTATAGGCCAGAATATATATCATCAGCCTCACATTTTTTCAAATCTATGCCTCTGCGATGAATAACATAGAAGTCATCCATTTGCAGGCTGCTTGCAGTCATCATAGCTGCTGTGTGTTCTTGCTTCCTTTGGCTCTCAGGGGCACATGGCTGAATGGATCCCAGTCTTTGATTTACAACCCCTTGTCGGCCCATGTGTGGCCTGACTTTACTTCTCTCTGGGCTTTCCTTTTATGGCCATCCATTGCCTGCAAGGACTCTCAGGCACCCGCCACTCAACTCCACCCGAGACCATCACCGGTCAGTTATGTATTTATAAATGCCTTCCCTGGAGGCAGTGCTCTCTCGAGCGTGGTGCGTGTCATCCCCTGGCTCTGATTTTCCTTCTGTTTTCTCACTAGTAAGAGGTGTCTCAGTTGTGGAGAGCTTGCTTTTGCTTGTCATTGAACTTACGTGAGTCATTGTGTATTTTCCCCATTCACCAGGCACGACAGAGGATGCCAGTGTTTCAGGGGCCTCTGGGTCATCCTAAGCACTCAGACATCCACCACAGGGACTGGTTAATGGAGGGTGAGAGTCCCTGCTCTGGCTAGCTGCTGGGCAGCACCACCAGCAATGCCATGGATGAATATTTAACGACAAAGGGAGTATGGTCACCCTAAGCCTTCAGAGGATAGGCAGGTTAAAAAATCATAGATACAGTGTCATCTCAATTTGGTATATGCATGTATGTATAATATATATATAAAAGACAAATATATATATTTGTTTATATATATATAAACAAATGAATGGAAGCCACATGTTCTCTATCCAGAAAGTTATGAGGGATTGTTGCTGGACACAGCCCAGGTGGGGTATCCCCTTTTTTTCTTGGTGCTGGAAAATTCGAAGTGACAGAGCTCAGGGCCCAGCTGCTGCTTCACTGACCTCACCAGGAGGCCACACCTGTAGCCACGGCAACTGGAGCTGTTTTTATCCCTTGCACCTGTCTCGTACGAGGTGGAGAGCAAAGAGCTTGTCCCTTTCCTTGTGCTCCTGAGCGCCCCTGACTTCTTCAGGGGCTGACACAGACAGCTGGGAGCAGGAAGAAGACTTCCATTGAGTAAGAGCCAGATACACAAATGGGGAAGGGTCCTGCCCTAGGACCTGGTGAAGCAGTCAGCAAACCAGGACTAATGCTGACCCATTCAAGAGCCCTGCTAAGCTAGGCTGGCCCAGGAGAACTCCTCCCTTTCCCCTGGCTGGCACCTCACTCCGAGTCCCAGGATGTGCATACCTGGTAGCTGTGTGAGGACTGGGGGCCTGGGCCCATGGCAGTACTGTTCCAGTAGTGTCCTCAGGGGCTGGTCTCCGGGTCCTTGGCTCAGCCCGGATGCCTAGGACAGAACAAGGATGAGGGTCAGAGGCCGGGCTCTGCTGACTCTTGACTGAGTCTTGCTCAAGGTGAGTTCTTGGGTGCCCCCTCTTCCATTCTGTTCTGTTACTTGGGCTCACTCTTATTCTCTTCACCGTGCAGGGCAGCCCTGGGGCCACACAGCACAATAGTGACCTGGCCAGGGCTGGGACCCTGATGTCACTTTTGAGGCAAGAGCCAACTCTGTTCCCCTACCCCATCCAAAATATGTCTCTCATTGATGCAGAATGTGCTCCAGGACATCTCTCAGCTTTTCATCGTTCCATCTTCCCCTGCCCTGATGTCCCTGCTGACCATAGCTCTCATATAGCACGTTCCCCACACTGGCCTCCAGGCACTTCCTGTGCTATGCCTGAAAGCCACATGTCCAGCCATACTCTGGGTGCCCCAGAGCTTTGAATTAATGCCTGCACCTAGCCAGAGGGGTGAAGCCTTCACAGGTGCTCACAGGACACCTATGTTCTGCCCAGCTGCCAGGTGCAGAGGGGCATGGCTGGGCACTGTGTGTGCATAAAGTGTGT